AGGCCATTTTCTTAGCTTTCCAACCCATGTTCAAACTCCTCGATCCGATTTTTGTAGAATTAGTTATGAATTTTTCCGTGAAAGCTACAGTTGCTGAAAATAAAATACGAAAATTAATTAAATGCAAAAATAAAATAAATTAGCAAAACATATTAAAACATAAAAATAAACACAATAAATTAAAGAAATGCATTAGTACAATCGTGTAATGATGTGCATCAAAATGCACTGATCAAATATCGCAAAAGTCAACATGGAAGTTACAACTATTCTGAATCAAAAGAAAATTTTCACAAGAACTATTCCAAAAAGAGCCTGCAAAGTCAAACAACCTGAAAAAAGTTGACTTAGGCAAAAACTAAGGCATCCTGATGGACCAAAAAATTCAAAATAATCGGCCCATGCAAAAATAAGGGATTAAAAGCAAAAAATGGAAATACGCTTGTGACTGCCACCTCAACAAACATCAATGCTTCTAAGCAGTGCCTGAACTTTATTAATGCTTATCATCATCATCGCGACTACAAAAATTCTCTTGCAGGTTGAGCGCATTTGTTGAGTTAATTGAACTTAGGAATGGAGAATATCAAGGATAGTTAAGTTGGGTTATATAAAAGTTGAGCCTTATATCATTTGTTTCTTAATTGAAGTTAGGTTCACTATGAAAGTATACTCATCAAAATTTGTATTAAAATGACTCATAATGTTTGTTAAATTATCGCTAACCATATTACCTTTCACATATTCATCTCTAATCATCTATTTCTATTTCATAACAAATTTTGATTTCAAAACTTGCATGTGCATCGCGTTAGAATTACTTTTCAAAAGGTACAATGTTGCTTACAAATCAATACTTAGCTTCGGGGAAATTTCAACAATGGTTTGATCAAAGGCGATCCTTTTCAAGAAGCTCCTAACAAGGGGTAAAACATCTAAAAAGTCCCCTATAATCAGGGGAAAATCCTAATGATCATAGGGATATATCACATGAAGATCCTATTGACTATGGGAAATCATTATTAGATTTGGTCAACTTGTGTCACATCTCAAAGCACCAGTCAATCAGGAACATACAATTCCAATACCCCAATGTTCAGGGGCATACCTTTCAAAATTCAAATGTTGGGGCATACCTTTCAAGATTTAGAAACTCTGGGGCAGTCAAAATGATTTATCATGGTCATTTATCCCAAGAGCTAATCAAGGGCATAAAGGTTTCAAAATTCAAAAAAGTAGGGTCGGCCATCTCAAGTTCATGATATGGCCAAACTACTTCAAAACTCACATTGAGGCGAATCTCTACGAACACCATTAAATTGGGGCAAGACATGCCATAAAGGGGAAATCTCTCTATACTTTCACAATTCCTAGTGAAACTTTTTCCTACGTCAGTAATCTTCGAGTTCGAGACGAGTATCAGGAAATCATGCTAGCATAACATCCTACCATTGTGTGACAAGCATCCTTATTACATAAGAAACTTCTCAATATTAACCGTCCACAACCCTCCATAGGGGCCCATGCAAAAAAAAACATCAAATTTATCATATATCATCATCATGCATTAATCATGTCGCTTCGCTCTAAGTATTAAGGCATGCATATCATCTCATTCATCTATCCTATTCACATATCATACAAAGCCTTGTAACCCAAGCATGGTCAGAAAGCCCAACATCGTTTGGCACATATCAAAATCCCAAAAAGCCCAATCACTCATTGGCACTTCAAAGTCCAACATCCATTGATGCATATCCAAGTCCTCATTACATGCATTGATCAATAATTACATTTCATGCATCAGTTAAAATACACGTCAAAATAATCATAACGCATACCAATCACCTGATTGATGTTTCCTGGTAACCTTATTAATGTTAGTAACCTTACTGTTGCTCATTTTTCCAATCACCTGATTATGTTTTTCGGTAACCTTACCAATGTCAGTAACCTTGTTGTTGTTCGTTTTTCCAATCACCTGATTGAATTCTCCCAGTAACCCTATCGATGTTAGTAACCTTACTATTTTGATTGTTTTACGGTAACCCTATCGACGCTAATGGACTTACTGTGATTTTCATATGGTAACCTTACAGACGTTAATAGTATTGCATGATTTTCAACCATTCAAAACGTGAGCAACCTCACGTAACTTCATCTATCAATTTATTTGTAAGCAGCCTTACGCATCTCATTCATAGCATTATCATAATTACTTCTAGCATACCAAAATCATATCGAAAAGCACTTTGGTTAGAAAAACGTCAAAAGAAATCCACGATACGCCTACGATACAATTATCAAAAGCGTTCATAAACATTTGATGCATTTACATATGAAACACATGTCAATGACTTTGGGCATCATAAGCATATCAGTAATATTCTCATTGGGCATCATGCATATGCATATCAATTATACATTGCATTTCAAGCTTGATAGGCTAAGACTACTACGAAATATCTTAAGGCCTATCAGCAACTAAGTTACATGTGTGAATCAAACATTTGAATCTTAGCATATTACAGAATACCTCAATTGGGAATAGACACAATATTCAGAGGTACTGTGAACCAAGAATTGAATTAGGCGACATATCTACGAATCATCTTTGTGACCTAGCTTTTCAATTTTTCAGTTTTTAAATTTTCATTTTCAAACATCGAACCCGCATCATTTATCCTCTAGGATGTGATAAATATGCAAGTTTGTAATACTACTCGCTATGTTAGTCTCGAAGCCTTAGCTAGTTTGTTACCAGACCTAACTCTATTAGATTTGTCCCCTGGCATAAATAAAGTTGATACCTGCGTTTTCTACCTCCTATGTTATAGTAGACGTGTATAATCTGCGATATAGCTTGTTGCATTAGTCTCAAAGCCGCAATAAGTTGTCTATTTTCAAAACTCGCATCTTTTATCCCCTAGGTTGTGATATATGTTTCAAATCTACGATGTAGCTTACTATGTTAGTCCCGGAACGTTAGTAAGTTATTTTTCAAAACTCGTATTATCTATCCCCTACGTTGTGGTAGATGTATGAGATATAATTTACTGTGTTAGTCTCAAGGCGACAATGAATTATCAAACTCATGTTATTTATCTCCTAGGTTGTGGTAAATATGCGACATCTACGATATAACTCGTTGCGTCAGTCTCAAAGCCGCAATAAGTTATCTATTTCCTGCGGTATAATTCACTGTGTTAGTCTTGAAGAGACAAGAGTTATCAAACTTGTGCTATTTACCCCCTAGGTTGTGGTATATATCCAATAACCACGATATAACTTGTTGCAAGTGTGTATAACAGGGTGCATATCGATCTTACAAGATATGATTTTTCAAAAATATTTTTCCACTTTGAAGTGGCTCACCTCAAAATCCAACCACACACATCATGTATATTAAGTGGCTTTCAAAATCGTAATATTGTATTCAAGTTTATTTGAAACCAGGATATCATGTATCACAAACATTCCTGTAATGGACAACTCATTCCACAAAAGAAGCTGAAACTTAGTTAGATTTTATTGATTGGATGAAAGAGTTCACCAAGTTCAACGAGAATGAAAGAGAATCAAATCAACAAAAATTAAAGGTGGAACCACTCATGGATATGTAGTGTTTAAGTGGTGATATATCTTTTGTTATATTTTAAATTCTATCTTACAATGTATTTAGGTGGTGACTCATTTTTTATATGTAATGTTAAATTGTTATTTTCAATGATTTATTTCGAATACATTTTCATGTGTTTTAGTTTATATTTAACATTACTTATATAAATATTGACCTTAAATTTTTTATGCCAAAAAACACGTTCTCTTTGTGATAGATTCTGTCTGGGAGGAGTGAAATAGATTTTTAAACTCTGAACACACCCTATTTTATAAGCATTAAAATGGTGAGTATGAATTTCAATATTTAGAATATTCTTTTAAAAAAAAGATTGAATTTCTAAGATCGATATAAAACTTATAAATATGTGTGCTCCTCATGTTAACAAAAAAACCACATATTATCTCTATATCCGTATCTCACATTTGTCTATTTCAGACGAAATACCTCCTCTTAAATTTAGATTCACATAGATCACATTTCTTGTCGAAATAGAGATTCACATAGATCACATTTCTTGTTGAAATCCAAACTAGAGAATCTCTTATAATACCTAAACAATTGAATAGTTGTGAAGCTCAATTATGTTCACTCTCAATTATCAACGAAGAGGTCAACAAAGAGGAGATACCTTTTAATAAATTTGGGCTGAACCTGAATGAAGATTTAACGATTATATGATTATATGTTGTACACTCAAAAATATTAAGCATATTTAATGTATGTCACTCAAAAATATTAAGCATATTTAATGTATGTCCAATGAGATTTATATTAATTTATGTTTGTTTTTCATTTCTACATTTGCTTTTAGTTTTGTAGTAATAAAGAAGATTTCAAATTTTAATAACTAGACCTAAATATGTGGAGTAACCCCTGAACATTATTTCTTACGTGTTTTAGTTTGTCATGAAACAGAAAGAAAAAAAATAGATTTTAATATTTAAACTAACCCTTGAACATTATGAAAATTTGAGGTTGAGAATAAGTTTAGGTTGGGTGAACCCGAATTTTAAAATTTGGACTTGGTTTTATTATCTTTGAGAAAACTAGGCATTTTGGGTGTGCCCGGACATTAAAATCCGAAATTTAGAGGTATTATTTAATTTTCACCTTGGCGGGTGAGCAACACCTATCGTAGGAATAAATAGCGAATAAAGAAAAATATAAAATATTTATAAAAAAAAAAAAAAAGTAGAAATACAACTATTACTTCTGCAAGATAAACTGTCATTTATAGCCAGAGAACAATTTTATACAAAAGTTAACATGCACTTCACCTGGCTTCGAATACACGGGGAACCCCACGCATTATTTATCACAAGCAAAAATGAGCAGCTTAATACTAATACAACTTCCACGCAGAGCTAGATGCTGGTTTCTACATTGCAGACTGGAAGATCATCTCAGCTAGCTCCTGTTTTGCAGAAGCAACCTTTGGCTCTCCCCATTCCTTGATCTTCTTCTCAAGGAAATCAAAGTCAGCTTTTCCAGCCTATGGCAACATACATTTCCAATCAAATAAAACACAAAAAGTCAGCTTTTCCGGCCTTTGGCAACATACATTTCCAATGAAAAGAAAATGTATGGATAATATTACCTCTATTTGAGACCCAATTTCTGTATCAAAACTTTGATATCGCTTGCGGACAAGCTCGGCCAGAGAACCGTCCTTTTGGTCAAACATAATGAGAAATGATTAGTTTGTTTGTCAGGAGAGATTGAAAAAATATAAGCTTTCAGATTGACATTAATGATATGAATTATTATAAGGATAAAAGTTTATGTAAGGGAGGATAGAATGTAACAATCACCTGAACTAGCTTGGCAGCATTTCTGAGGCCTCGGGCCATTGTATCCATTCCAACAATATGAGCTATGAACAGGTCTTCAACATCTGTGCTCTCTCTCCGCCTAAAATGTCACTTGGTAAGTAAATTGTAAAGGTGGAAAAAGGAATATGAGTACAAAAAGATAGTGAAGGACTCACAATTTGGCATCAAAGTTGAATCCACCTGGTGCAATTCCATCCTAGAAAAATCAAGAAAAAGAAAAGAATAACTCCGTCAGATGATATTGTGTTTCTAAGGTGAGGAGTGATGAACTTCAAGACACGAGTAAGTACTTTCATACATTTCTGATAACGCTGATCATAATCATTGTTGCCTCTTGGATATCTACGAGAAACTGATCTGTGTCCCAACCTGAAATTGTGATAAAAGCTTCATATTATAACTTCATATAATAACATTGTGACAAGTTAACACTCAGTCTTCCATGTTGGAAGTTCATTCTTTTTCTTTGTTACATAGTAGAGAATTTGAACGTACCAACTTGAGGATCACCAGTATTTGCATCAATATTACCCAACAATCTATTAATCCTTGCAGTTTCAAGCTCATGATGACAACTATGAGAGGCATTGGAAAGTACAACAAACATGTCCAGATTCAGTAATGAACAGCAAAATTAAAATAGAAAGTATGATCAGAATTTCACACGTGAGCACAATGTACAATGCAAGATTCACCTGTGACCAGATAGGGTGGCATGGTTGCACTCAACGTTAATTTTGAATTCTCCTACAGAAAGGGCAAAATTGGGGAAGTGTGAAGATAAAGAACAACAGGAAATTATACAGTTCAAAATCTTACTGGTGTACTATTTGACAAAATAAAAATTTCATTATAGAAAGACATCACACGCCATTTTTTGGTTCTTGGGAGACATTTGAATGACGAATACAAGCAAATATTACCTATAAGTCCATATTTTCGCAAGAAATTAGCTGTAGTTGCAACATCCCAATCATACCTGGAGGAATACAAATTAGTAATGTGCATAATAGGCACTGTGGAATTGTTGATTGAATAGGTAGGATACGTACTGGTGTTTTGTAGGCTCTTGTGGCTTTGGTTCAATTAAAAGTGTCCCTGAAAATATAGCAGAAAAAAAAAGCATAAGAAAATTCATTTTATTAAGAAACAAAACACTATGGTGTAGTCCGTATAGAGATAAAAGTATAGTTGTGCTATACTCCTCATCTCCTCCTATTTTTCATAATGTAGTGCTATACAATGATCCAGCTAGTTAGTATTCAAGGGAATGTTTACCATTGAATCCGATCTTCTCTTTGTGCGCAACAGCAGCTTCCAAAAATCTAGCCTGTAACCAGGTAAATATGCAGAGGCATTGTTTTAAGAAGATACAACACATTGCAGATTAGAAGGCAAAAACAACACAAAAGCTAGAGTGTCTCGTTATTTTTATATGCAAATCACTATGTAAGTGGACAAAAAATTCTATTTAAGATATAGAGCATTTAATACAACAACAAGAGGCAATAAGAAAGCACAATCATATCACTACTTCAAGGATAGATAGATTCACACACCAAGTGATCAAGCTCTCGTTCCATATCTGTGTTCAAAAGAGATTGATAACCCTCACGGCCACCCCAAAACACATAATTTTCTCCTCCCAAATAATGTGTCACCTGCAATATATTTTTATCACCAGCAAAAATGAACAATGGTTCTAAAAATACAATCGACCTTGTTACTATTACTGTACTGTATCTATAGGAACGTACCTCCATGGCTTTCTTCACTTGAGCAGCCGCATATGCATAGACCCCTAACTCAGAGCTGTAAAGAATTTCACTTTGTGAGTCACAAGGACTGTATTGACAAGCTAGGAGATAATGGTATACAAATGTTACCTAGTAGCAGCACCATGCATATAGCGAGGATGCATGAACAACTGAGCTGTTCCCCACAAAACGCTCTTTTTACCCTATATATGAAAAGGCGGAAAAATTGTTTAATCAACATTTCATAATGTTTATTTAAAGTGAAGCTTAATTCCTGGACGTATGTATTGGTTTGAATACAAAAAATACTTTTTTTCTACTTTAAGCTGATTATCAGAAAACAATTAGTATTATATATTAAAAGATTCATTCATGTCAAATTACCTTAGTCTGAAGCTCTTGAGCAAGAGCCACCACTTCATCCAGGTTTGCATTTGTTTCCTAAGACAAAGGCAGCAGGTACAATCCAATAGCTCAGATAGAGTATACGACCATAGTAAATATAGCAGCAATGCATTATTCATGAAAACACATTCCATCAACTATGTCTATGACCACAGTTCAACAATCGCATACTTTGATCCTCTCTAAGAAGTGCAACTAAGTAAAGCTGAGAAATTTTTAAGATTGACTCACCTCAAGAGTAGGCGCATCAGGTGCTATATCCCTATCGTGAAAGCACCAAAAGTCGACACCAAGTTTGTGTATGAACTCAAAATTTGCTCTCACTGTAATAATTAAGAAAATTTTATCTAGTATCACATTATAATCTATATATGCAAATGCAAGAGTGAAGAATGAACATACTCCTTCTTTTAGCCATGCTTAATGAATTGGTACCATCTTCCCATGGCCAATGTTTGGTAGGTGCACCGAACGGGTCACCACCTGTTCCACGGAATGTATGCCAAAATGCAACACTAAATCTGAACCAATCCTAAAGTCACATAGAGTAAATTCAAATCAAAATCCAAGAGTAAGTCAAATAAAAATAAATAAAAAAACCACCTAGATTATTTATATATGAAAACCAACCTTCATCTTCTTCCCAAGAATTTCCTCTTCTGCATTATACCATTTAAATGAAAGCGGATTCTTACTCGAAGGCCCCTGAAAATCAAATAAATTCACTAATAAATAGACACGAAACACATTACTACGGAATACAGATCAAATTACTAGTCTCGGCAACTGCATCAGACTACAATGGCGTGATTTAAAATCACGCGTCCTAAACCGCATCAGACAACTTCCCACGAGATTCTTCAAGTATTTCCGTCCAAACTCAAAAGCGCGCAACCGCAATTTAAAACCATGATTTTCCTTTTCACTGTTATATCATAACAAAAAAAAGGAAAAACTGTGATAAAAAGTGAACCTCATATTTAATTTTGGAAATGCCAGGGAAAAACTCCCCTACCCAATCATCCTGATCACCGCATTTACCAACATTAGTAGCAGGACAAGTCTGAGATACAGCAATCTGATATCCATCAACAAAAACAAATCTCAAAAATTGAACAATAACATACACACAAATACACAAAGAAAAACACGTATCAGTACATTACCACTGCATAACAGAAAACACTGAAACTAATCAACAGTGATAATTTCCCTAATTTCCCTAATTTCATCATCATAGATTTACGAAACTCCTGCGAAATAGAGAATAACGAAATCGATCATCGATTAACAGATTAACATGATCAGAAAAAATGGGAAGAAAAAGAAGCGGTGAAGAGTGGAACCGTATGAGATTGACGGATTCAGCGATTCTTGAATTTCGTTTTCAGATAGGTTTCTTGTGAATTTATTTATGGTGAAAATCACGTAAACTAAATATAGAAATTGAGGAATTTGAGTTCTTGATTGCTACGATGTATGGTCTAGTTGGATAAGGACGAGATCAATTGTATAGTGGTATATCACGTGGAAGAGTGTCACAAAATGGATATTACATGACTTTTTTATTTCTATTTTCTATTTTTTTTGGAATAAAGGAAAATATTATTATATGGTTTTCTCAAAATAAACTATCTATGTTTTTTTATAAAAATTAAATAGATCATTCAAATTTGTTGGTGTATAAGATTATTAAATGAAAGAAAGGTAAGAGAGAATATATTTACAGTTCTGCAATGACAACTATAAAATTTGTAAAAGGGAATGATACAAATAATTGTTACTATTAGTCTATTTATACACAAATTAAATTGTCACGTAGGCGTTAATAAAAATAAACTTAATGACTAAGTTAAAAGGTACAAACTAGGAAATACTAAACTTAACAGCTACGCTAACAACAACTTCTTAACATATCAAACTACTGCTTCTAACTAAGCAGTCTCAGAAGCTTACAGCTTTTGGCTAACAACCTCAAAAGTTCAACTGCTTCTGAGCAACAACATCTTTTGAATATGAATTACTTCTAACATCATTCATTAATTCATATTCAGCTAACCAAAACTCTTCAACACCAATTTCATCCCTCAAACAGATAAAATGTTCAGTCTTGACATTCTTCGTCAGAACATCTGCAAGTTGCTTTTGGTTGCTACAGTGTGAAACTTCTAATACTTCATTTAAAAGTGCAGATTTCTCTTTGAGAACTCATCTGACTTGATGTTTTTCTTCTCCTTCGGAAGCTCGGCTAACTCCTAAGTCTTGTTTCTTTCAATAGATCAAGCTCTTCTTTCATGGCCTTCAGCCACACTTTCTTCTTGAGAGCTTCACAGGTTAACAACATAACCACCGGTTGCTTTTTAGAGCACCAAGAAATAGGACTTTCCAGATATAAATAAAAATATCCAAAAGTATTTCTTCTGTCAACTCTGTTTTCATACAAACCAGAGTCTGAATAGCATATCAGCTCTGCATCTTATCTAACACCAGAAGAGAATAACACTTCATACCTCAGAGTCTCTTCACTATCTTGTAGCTTGTCAAACTCTGCAAATCTCCTTGGTATTTTCTGATTCTATGTGGCCTCTGAACTTGTTCAAAATCTCCTTCTGATTCTGGAACAATATCTCCTTCTGGACTTTCTTCAGAAGTTTGACTACCACCAGAAGCTCCACCTTTGTTAGCTTCAGAAATACCATCTTTTGGATCATCTTCAGAAGCTCTGCCTTCAGAAGTTCCACTTTCAGAATCATGATCACCGTCAAAGGTTGAATTACCTTTAGAAGCTCCTCCTTCAGAAGGTCCACCTTCAGAGACATGATTTGTATCAGAAACATGATCATCTTCAGAAGCTTGTCCTCCAGAACCTACATCTTTATAGTTTTCCCTTCTAGAAGCATGACCACTACTAGATTCAAAATCTGGATCATAATCAGATTCACCATCTGACTCATCTTTAGAGTCTCAAGAAGATTCTTCATCCTCTGACTCTGACCGACCTTCAGAACTTTTAAGTTCTGACTCATCTTCAGAAGCAGAATCTCTTTTAGATTCTGACTCATCTTCTGATTCTTCTTCAGACTCAGAATCACCTTCGAATTCTGACTTGTCTTCAGCTTTAGAGTCATCTTCTAACTCTGAGTCAACTTCAGAAACCTCAGATTCTAACTCATCTTCAGCGTCTTCTTCTGATTCTAACTCATATTCAAACGCTCCTTTAGAGTCAGAATATTCAGAGTCATCTTTTTCCTCTTCAGAATCAGAAAATGACAATTTCACAGGTTCCTCATCAAATTTATAAGTCATTAATAGCACAGGTTCATCATCAGAATCTCCTCTAGCTATTTTTGCTTCTTCTTTATTTGACCAACAATCCTTAGCAAAGTGGTCAAACCTGTTACAACAGTAACATTAAACCATTCTCTTATCATACTTCTCATTTCCCTTCTGGTGTTTCTTTTCATCAGAAGTAGAGGTTTCTGACTTCTGGAATCTATCACCATGTCTATTCTTGGTTTCTAACCAAGAATTCTTCTGGTCCTTCTTGACAAAAGAAGCTTTCAGAGCCTGCTCAACCTCCCTCTCAGAAGTTCTTTCAATCAGACGCAACTTTTGCGCCTCTAGACTACTTTTCATTTCTTCTATTCTTATGGTTTCCATATCTTTAGAATGTTTAATTGCTACAACAACGTAATCAAATTGAGGAGTAAGCAACCTTATTACCTTCTCTATGAGTACTTGTTCATAAAGGGTTTTTCCACAAGTTTTCATCTCATTAGTGATCAGAATCACTCTAGAGATGTACCTAGAAACCTTCTTGGTGTCCTTCATGTTGATATTCTTATACTGCTTTCTGAGAGACTGAAGCTTTATCTTCTTCACTGATGCGTCACCACTATAACACCTACTCAGTATGTCCCACGCAGCCTTCGCCGTCGTCGAATCAACAATTTTCTCAAACATGTTCTCATACACACACTGATGGACGAAGAACTACGCCTTCTGATCTTTCTTCCTTGTATATCTCTGTGCATTTCTCTGTTCTTCAATTGCATCTACTGCAACTGGAACATAACCATTTGTAACAAGCTCAAGAATGTCCTGAGCGCCAAACAACACACGCATCTGAATCATCCAATTATTCCAGTTTTTGACATTAAATACTGGAATCTTGGTAGACTACCATTTCCGGTCATCTTCAACCTTGTACAGAACACTCAGATCTCACAAACGCAGTGTTTCCCAATCCCACAGAATCAGAAAAATGTGATTCTGTTCAAATTTTGTTGAAGATTCAACATGAATTCAAGAACCAAAATCAACCACCCAACTCCTCACATTTCATTCGTGTTTCCATGTGAATCAGAATCGGAGCTCTAGATACCAATTTGTTGGTGTACAAGATTAATAAATGAAGGAAAGGTAAGAGATAATATATTTACAGCTCTGTAATAACGGCTATAAAGCTTACAAAAAGGAACGATACAAATGATTGCTACTACTAGTTTATTTATACACAAAGTAAATTGCCATGCAGGCCCTAATAAAATTAAACTTAATGACTAAGTTAAAAGGTACAAACTAGGAAATACTAAACTTAACAACTACGCTAACAAACTTAGAACCCAGAAGCTGGGCTGAACATACTTCTGGACGTAACCTCATAAGCTTCAGCTTCTGACTAACAACAAATTCTTAATATATCAAACTATTGCTTCTAACTAATCATTCTTAGAAGCTTACAACTTCTGGCTAACAACCTCAGAAGCTCAACTGCTTCTGAGCAACAACATCTTCTGAATATGAATTACTTCTAACAAATTTAAGATGTTAGTTATGAATATGTGGCTAAGTTTGAGAATTTGAATCAATTTTTGAGGATCTGCATGAAAGGCTATGACAATGGTATTATATTTTAAATAAGATCTTACAATATATTTTGTTAGCATAAAAAAAACTTAAGCACGTGAATAATAGGAAGTGGACACACAAATTGGCACAAAGTTTGCACATACTGACATTTTTATGATTTGGAATGAGAATGCATGAGAAAAGATGAGAGATTTAGAGGGAAGAGTAATTGCATTCACTTGTTACTCAATGATCTTGTTATAAGTGTTTATATTATATAGTTATGATGTTGACCTTCAATTTCATCAATTAGATTTACAAACCATATAGCATGACAAGTATATTGTGATGCTGCAATGTATTTTTCTTCACATGAGAATAAAGCCACCATTGGTTCCTTCCTTAATCTCCAAGTTATTGGTGCACCACCCAACAAGAACACATATCCTACTATTGATTTTTTGTCATCAGCGTCACAGTTCCAACTATAACACCCGAGGCCGAAGAGGGCGGATAGTGGATGTAACACCTGAGGCTGGAGAGGGAGGATAGTGGATGTAACACCTGAGGTCGAAGAGGACAGAGAGTGGTTGCCAGTATAAAATTTACATCGGAATGAGAGGGATCCTAAGGTTGTGCAGGTGTGGGACTGTATGGTTGAAGAAAGGCTTATAAGAATTGATTGGTACTACCTATATCAACAAGATATATCTTCTTTTTGGTAGCCTAACCAATAATAACTCCACAATCATGAATCCTATCTCTTTTAGGAAACCACCAATCATCTCATTTCAAGCCCTTAGATCTTGCTTAAGCCCATTTAAAGCCTTGTGTAGTTTGTACACCTTGCTTTCCTAGCCTTCTTTTCTCAAAATCAACTGGTTGTGATACATATACTTCTTTATTTAAAGACCCATTTAGAAAGTCACACTTTACATCCATATGATACACAAACCAATTTTTTAACTAACATATTGTTTCAGTCCTATCAACAGGTGCAAAGACTTCATCAAAATCAATGTTTTTTTCTAAAGAAACCCTTTATCCACAAGCCTTGCTTTGTGTTTGATCACTTCACCTTTGGGGCTTAGTTTCACTTTGAATACCCAATTAACTTCAATTACCTTCTTTCCTTATGGTATGTCAACAAGTGACCAAGTCTTGTTAACCTCTATAGAATTCAACTCCGCTATCATAACACTTACCCTTTTAGGATTCCTTAATGCTTCATTTACACTTACTAGCTCAATATCGACATAAAATGCATAATGTACCAACTAATCTTCACCATTAACCATATTATTTGGTGTAATTTCATAATCTTGCAGTCTAGTTGGCATATTTCTAACTCCTTGAGGCCTATTGGTATCTGCTTGAGACCTGTTGGTATCTGCTTGAACTTGTTGTTTCAATATCACTACTTAATTCTTCATATATGATTCTTACAGAGTCCTTCTTAGAACTATTATTCAAATCTCATTCCTTTAATTCATCTATGAACATATTTCTGCTAATCACTAGTTGCTTACTCTCGGGATCTAGAAGCTTGTATCCACAAGTTGAATGATAGGTGTTGTACCCCAAACCCCCCCCCCCCCCTCATTTCTTCAAGACATTATCCTAGGGTTTTTAATTGCTCAAGGTTACTCAATGTTTGATCAGACAAATTCTCCTCCTAAGCAGTTGAACTACAACTAGCGTTTCACTTTTCTCAAGGAAATTTGAGATTATAATGCCTCAAGTGGATTTCATGGTTCCTCATATGTCTCAAGGAATGCTCATGCCAATTTTCAATCCTTGCATCATAAGTTTGCTCAGTCAATTGCTCAGATGACTAAAAATCAACTATATTAGGTAAAAAGTCAATTGTGGCTAACATATAGTCAAACTTCAAGATTTTTGGTTAACATCAAGATTTTTAAGTCATATTCATCATTTGATCAAGGTTCGATCATGATTCATCAAGGAAAACTCTCAAATCATTAAAAGTCAAGAGTTGTCAAATTAGGGTTTCCTAAGTAGAAGTCAACTAAACTTTGACCAAGCATAACTTTCACATGGTTCATCATATTTTTCTAAACCAAAGCTAATTTAGAAGAAAATTCAATTCTCTACAACTTTGTCTCTCTAAGCTCAAGTTCAAGAAATGCTTCATTTGAGAGATATGGGCCAATACATTATATGTCATTTCAAAAGTCAACAAAAAGACACTTTTTGTCAAGGCAACTTACATCAAGATAAAATCTTCAAATTCAAAAATGGTAAACATAGAGATTGTAGAGGACATATTTAGATTTCAAAAAAGTCCAAGATCACCTTTAAATGATAAAAATTGATAGAGTTGTGACTAGTGCAAGTTGGGAAATTTTGAGCAAATGCATGAAGTTCAAATTGAGCAAACTTGAATTTTTGGGCTAATGGGCTATTGTTTCAAAGTCCAAACGTGTTTTGCAGCTCATGGGTTTTTATTTTTTTTATTTTTTATTTATTTATTTAAAATTCAAAATAAAATAAAATAAGACAAAGCTTATTACAAGAGTTCAATCCCATGTTGTTTGACCTAAAATGTAAACTATATATTCTTCCTCATTCAGACAAACAAGCCACAAAACCTGGTGCAAGAAACCACATCCAAAAATCACAAAATCATTCAAACTAGGGAAACCTTAGAACCCTAGTTGCAGCCAACTTCAAGGTCTCCTAACCAGTCCATTCACTTCCAGGGACGCAAGAGGGTAAGGTTGGATCAATTGCCATGATCAAAAGGGAATAAAAACATGCATATATACCGCATCAATTTTGATATTGCATGAATTTCATATATATGTTTTCCTTGCATTTTAATATGTGCTAACTCATTTAATGTGTTCCTGAGGTTCAACAATGCCGGAATGACCTATTATGAGAGCCCTATAATGGGTGGATAATGCAAAGCCATGTTAACAACTATCCATGCAATTTTCTTTGTATCTCCTAAACCCTTGCGATTTAGGCCAGGATGATAGTCCCATTGAATCCACAGACCGTGATTTAGGGGGTAGGGTCCCCTTGGATTGCTAATGTTTATTGTTTTGCAGGAACATAAAAAGAAGCTACTAGAGAAGATGACTGGAGCTAGGGCTCTGGCGCCTCCCCGGTTCATGAAATGTTTTTATATTATATATGTTTTGTTTTTTTTAAATAATGGATCTATCACCATCCCAGTAGTTAAAACACGTGCGATAAGGCTTTACTATGCAAGGGCACGGGTTTGATCCCTGCTTTTGGCACTTTGAGTTTTTCATAATTTTATGTTTTATAGGATGATAACAAAGCGTGTTTGCTTCCATTATTTGACACATGCGTGCGTATGGCCTAGTGGTGAAGGTCTTGGTGGAAAGAGAAAAGGGTGTGGGTTCAACACCCATCCTTGGCAGTATTCTTTTAAAACTTTGTTTTCTTCATACTTTTCTTAGTTTTGCATTTACAAACCCTAAATTCACAAACAAAACCTTTTAAAAAACCTATTTTTTTTCAAAAAAACTTTTTACAATAGTAATTAGGGTTTTAATTTCCGCATTTTATTATTTATGTACCTCTCCCAAAGCGCTGCAATAGTCTTAGGTTTACTTTCCGTCTTTTTACTTTTCGCACATTTACTACTTTACCATTTTACTATATCCCTGTTAGTAATTAGGTCATGTATGGCAAGATAAAAACAAACATAGCTAACCCTAATTTCAAGACTTAAATAACTGAATCACAACACACCTTGCACACTCACACCTCTAGGGTAACCTCCCTTGTTGCCTTCAAAAAAACAGTCATGTCCCTCGAATGTGGGGACATGTGATCGGTGGAAATAGAACTGGTTGTTTTGGAATGCTGGTTCGCGTTTGCGTTTTGCAAAATGTCGCGGTAAGCAAGAGTCGCCACCGTCTTTTATGTTCTCCCACAAGGAAAGGAAAAAAGCACAGCAAAATTCCTTTTCGAGATGTCTC